AAGGCAGAGTGGAGGAACGGAGCGGAGATAAAGCGTTCACGGATGGATTCCAGGCTATATCAAATAGGCCAGGCAATATCAAATTGGCACGCATTGGCTGCAGAAAAAATATACTGTTTCAGAAACCCCGACAAAAATGCAAAAAATCACGCAATAATGAGCCGAAGTCTAAATCTCTGCTTGGAGAGTATACCTTAGCAGGTTGAACGTTAATATTTGCTTACTCTTGTATAGCGCAAGCCAATTTTGCATTGCAAAACCTTGGACCAGAAATGTGACTGTTATATCTATTTTTTTGCAGCTGTCCGGGTGCGCCATCCTTGGCGTGGCGATCTGGCTCCGTATCGATGTCCAGACGATGCAGTACGTCCGAGTGGGGGAGGACCTGGAGACGTTCTACATCGGGACGTACGTGCTGATCGCGGCGGGAGCCCTCGTCATGCTGGTCGGCTTCCTGGGCTGCTGCGGCGCCATCATGGAGTCTCCCTGGCTCCTGGCCTCCGTGAGTCGTTTTCTGTGAAATGAGATACATTTGTAGCCTCTACCAGGCTTCGGGAGGCAGATGGAAAGAGTAGAAATTGGCCAAATAGACAGAGATAACATGCCAGGGGAGTTGGTCCGCTGGAGAATACGGGTGTGGCAAAATGTACTCTTTCCAGCCGCCTCCCGAAGCCTGATAGAGGCTACTATATTTGAGCTTCCAGATTTTAATATTGAACGTTCTTGAGTTCTTGGATGGTCCAGGGGCTGCTCCAATACAGATGCCCGAGAGATGACAATAACACCGTACATTGCCGGGCGTAATGATACTTCGAGGCCATTGTTCCTAACCGTGAACAGAGCACAAAGTTTGGGGTGAAGATTCTAGTACATGTACTGAGTGGGTTCTAAGTCTGAATACTATATACATTGTATATTGACTTTGCCCAAACAGATATCTCATATATGTTCCTGTAAACAGATATGAAATTCCGCTCGAATTGTGCAACCAGATTTGACAAGTTATTGTAATTATTTCCTGACAGTTTTTCGCGTTCCTGGTGCTGATATTCTCAGCAGAGGTCGGAGGTGGCGCATGGGCGTACCTACACAGGTCAAAGGTCAGTACATGACAACTCGTTTGAGCTTTTTATGCAATGTTAAAGTAACTAAAAATGCAATGTTAAAGTTTCTACAGGTAACTAAAGCTAAACTAAAAGTAACTAAAGCTGCGAAAACATTACAAATGCATTGAACTAGTAGGAGGAAGTTGTTAAAAAGAGGCAAAATTTTCACTTTAATTTTAAATTCCTTGATATATATTGTGGTTAATATGTGCAGCGATAAATGCTGTCTCTTTCTGAGTAATTTAAGATTTAATTAATAATAATACATACCAGCGGGCATAGTTCAATGTTACAGATCTTTTTTTTTTTAATTTTCAGCTGGAAGACTACGTACGTGAGGAGTTTCAGTTGATTGTCCAGACGAGATATAACCAGGACTCGTACGAGACCACCACCAAACTCTGGGACCAGCTCCAGATATCTGTATGTACATTTTATCACCAACTACATATACGTCCCCCGTACGAGTACATACACGTCCGTATCGGAAGTATTGTTTAGGCCATGTTGATTTGATTATATGGATGACATCCTTCGGGAGCCCCAAAACTGATGCGCGCGTGCGAAAAAAAAAAGTTTTGCAAAAAAAAAAAAGTTCTTTTCATTATGAAATCTACGTGGTCATGAGGGTTGAGCAAATGGCACAGAATATGGTTTGGCGAATAATCTAGTCTTCAAGTTCATTTCTTTACAATTTCGTCTTTTTTCGTTTGATTTTGGCATTTTACGACATTGGTATAGTTTTCATTAATTTTTTTTTGGAACTTATGGTATATTTTTGCTCATTTTGCAACTGTTTTGTACGATTTACAGTATGGTTGAAAACTTTTTTTTTTGGAAACGGCCGAAAATTCATGCGCGCGCGGATGTCATCCATATATTCAAATCAACATGGCCTTAGGGTGGGTTTACGACTGTCAGTAGAAATAGCGTCGGTTGCATGGCGGGTAGGAGGTGATTTCCCAGTTGCTTGACAGGGAGGTCAAGCCTAAAGGTGACCCAGCATGCCCCTGGTGGGGGGGGGGACGCCAGGAAGTGGTTTGATACCCAATAAATTTACATCATACAATTTACCCCACAATGCCGATAAATGAACGAAAACTACTTCCCGGTGGTCTGTGAACTTCATATTTTTTCTAGCACAGTTCTTTAGATAAGTCAACTGTGTTTTTTTTTCCTATTCCAACATTACATTTATCAGAGCGTCATACTCAGGTTCTTTTTCGACTTATTTTTATGCCACCACCAACGCAGAAAAATGCATGGACAACAGACATATTAAGTGAGGAAATTCGTGTATTAAAAGTGCTTTTCTTAATGGCACAAGATCGGTGGCATGGCAGGATCGAACTCGGGACCTCTTAGTTACGAGCCGAACACTCTGCCGTTACGCCACACGACCCCGTTGTGTTACAGCTGAGATGTTGCGGCGGTGAGGACATGACTGACTGGAACCTGTCGTTCTGGGGCTCGTACCACCCGCGGGACGTGCCGGACTCCTGCTGCGTGCGGCAGGAGAGGAGATGTGGACGGTTTGGCCTCACCAAGAAGATCGGCATGTTCAGACAGGTATCTAGTCTTTATCTAGTCTGTGTAACGCAAACTCTGCCGTCCGCGGCTTTAGTGGCCCCTCCGGCTGGATGTTGGGCGACCGGCAACCGTAGCCGATATAACAGCGTAACACACCATGCCAGGTATGGGGATTCGCTGTGACTGATTATGGCTGTGACTGCTGGTGACACATACGTGAGAGGTCAGGTGTTTAGGGCTGGGGTTAGGATTAGGGTTGATATTAGGTTAGCGTTAGGGTTAGGGATCATTGTTCAGGGCCTAAGGGTTAGACTTACGATTAGGGATAGGTTAGGTTTAGTCTCTCACCTCACGACTTAACCCCTTCCACCCCTAAATTCTACGACATAAAATCGAACGACGACCTCCGACGAATGTGACCGCGACGTTACTTGACCACCAAGTCTTTCGTTCTTGTTGCCGGTTCTAGTGACACGCCGTGGCTTTTGATATTTCCGCAGGGTTGCAGCAGTAAGATGGTGACGTTCTTCAGCTCCAGACTTCTCATCATCGTGTGTGTGGGACTGGGAGTCGCCATACTGCAGGTGAGACTACGGCAGTGTTTACATTCAAGATAGAAGTAACTTTGGTACGTAGCTGTGGTAAAGATAAGATGAGACAGTACCTGCAAATACATGTTTATTTGTTTATTGTTTTGTTTATTTACCATTTGCACGTATATTAAAAAATTACACAATCAAATAATTAACAATCAAATAATATGCGGGGTAGGCCAGAAACCTAGGTGGTTTTTTAAAGGGCCTACCCCAAACAAAGGTAACTTATGACAAAACATATTTGAATTAAACATCAAAATTAAACAATGAAATAATTGATTAATTAAACAAAATCAAGACATAGAAATAATAACTGAAGTGTGTAAACTAACTAAAAAGAAATTAAACAAAAGTTCACATGTAGTTGACAGGGTGCGAGGTACGTTTCGGTACCATGTCGTATCATTAGGATAGCTTTGGAATTGCATTTTGTAATGCCATGGTCGACTAATTTGGTTTACACTACGGGAATAAGGAACGAGAAGCAAAGGGTTGTTATAACTACACCAATTCAGTTCCACAAAGAATTTTGGTTTCAGATGATAACTGTTTGCTAGTCTCTGTAAAGCAAAATCTTGGTCATGATCAAAAATCTTGTGTGCAATACCTAGGATAGTCGCTAGGGGCACAATGTAAGGTGAACGTTGTCGATAATGCTTTCTGTTTCAGTTGATGGGGATGGTATTTTCCCTGATGTTCTGCTGTGCTCTGAGAGGCAGAAGAGGTTCTGAGCCCATCGACAACGACTCCAACAGCAAACCCCCTGCCGTGGTGGTGTGAGCGTACAAGCAAACCCCTGCAATATATGAAGAGACGCAAGAGGGTGCCCTTAAACTTTTAGCACATAAATGACGAAAGTTATGTATGAAAAGCTATGTAACGATATTAGGTAAATCATAGTATTTATATTGTACATATCTTGTGTCTAATGTATATTGTGGTACTTCGGAAAGTCAAAGATCATCGTAAACTAAATATCTCGCAGATGATTAGGGAACCCACGTGTGACTTATCTCGTGTACCCTCCCTGATTGACTTACTGTTTACCGATGCTCCTACCCTTGTCAAATCTACATCTGTACTCTCGCCGCTGTCTGGCTGTCACCATTGCCCCATTATAGCCAGTTTTGACTTTGCTATCAAAATACCTCGACCGTATGTTCGCACTGTTTGGGATTTTACAAAAATTGACTATGATATTCTTGTTGAGTCTTGTACTGACAACAAATGGTTAAACATATTTAATTGTGATTCTGTTGACAATGCTTGCAATATGCTAATTGATCTTATCCTGGAGACCAAAAGAAAATGTATCCCCCACAAAAACATCATCATTAGACCCAGTGACAAGCCTTGGATGTCACCTCGAATTAAAAGATTTATGCGTTTAAGAGATAGAACTCATAAAAAAGCCAAATTATCAAATAGCCCTCCACTTTGGGCTTCCTACCGCAAGATAAGAAATCTACTGGTAAAAGAAATAGCTACGGCCAAATCAGACTATAAGACTCGTTTAATGAATTCTCTAGTGAACTCTTCTACAGGTTGTAAAACATGGTGGCATATAGTAAAAACTATTTACAGATGCAAAGCGTCAACTACCATCCCCCCACTTAAGTGTAACAACCTTTATATAAGTGATTCAAGAGAGAAGGCTTCAGAATTCAACAAATATTTTTCACAACAGTCGACAATTGATGATACCAATTCCAGATTACCGAATCTTGACTACTTGACTGATGCACGATTGTTTAACTGTGAAACTACGGCCACTGAAGTTGAATTGTATATTTCTGAGTTGGATATTTCAAAGGCGTATGGCTGGGATGAAATTGACAACCGTTTCTTAAAGCTTATTAGTCCATATATCTCTGATAAAATAGCCTATATTTTTAACCTGTCGTTTTGTCACGGAATTTTCCCCGAAATCTGGAAGAGAGCTAATGTTGTGCCTATTTTTAAAAAAGGTGATCCTTGTTTAGTTTCCAACTACCGCCCCGTTTCGTTGTTACCTGCCCTGTCAAAAATTTTAGAAAAAATAGTATATAAACATCTATACAACCACTTAATATCTGAAAATTTGTTATACTCATACCAATCAGGATTTATTAAGGGTGACTCAACTGTAAATCAACTTGCTTTCATTTCTGACAAAATTCTTCAATCCTTTGATTTAAACAAAGAAGTTAGAGCTGTTTATTTGGACTTCTCCAAAGCGTTTGACAAAGTCTGGCACAAGGGTTTAATTCTTAAGTTACAACGAAATGGGGTGGGAGGTCCTCTTTTGAACTGGATCCAAAGTTATTTAAATGCGAGAAAACAACGTGTCATAATAGAAGGCCAAAACTCCGACTGGTCTGAGATTAGTGCAGGTGTGCCCCAGGGCTCTGTGCTTGGGCCACTGTTATTTCTAGTGTATATTAATGACATGGTTGAAGGACTTGAAACCCACCCCTTTTTGTTTGCTGACGACAGTTCGTTGCTAGATGTTGTAGAAAGTCCTACCCTTTCAGCTATGAGACTCAATTCCGACCTTTCTAAGATACAATCATGGGCAACTATGTGGCTAATGGAATTAAATGCTTCGAAAACAATTGAAATGTGCTACTCTAAGAAAACGAACCCTCTTCCCTACCCACCCCTTTTACTTAGGAAACGAACAAATTAAATACTGTCTCTTCTCACAAACATATTGGGGTTCATCTCTCGTCCACCATGTCCTGGACCACACATATATCTAATATACTAGCCAATGCCTACTAAAAAAGTTTCCAGTTTTAGTAAACTTAAATTCAAACTTCCCGTAAAGTTTTAGAAATTATTTACAAGTCTTTCATTCGGCCCTCACTCGAATATGGCGGCGTTGTTTGGCACAGTTGTACTTCTATAGATTCACAACGTATTGAACGAATGCAATATGAGTGTGCCTTAACTGTAGCCGGAGCGATCAGGGGGTCCTCTTATAATTCTCTACTTACTGAACTAGGATGGGAACAAATGTCTGATCGCCGCCATGTTCAGTCTCTTATTTTATTCTATAAAATCATCTACGGTCACACTCGTCAATACTTAAGAGATTTAATACCGCCCCTAGTATCAGACGCCTCTACTTACGACCTTCGTAATAAACTAAATCTTCAGTTGCCAAAATGTACCACAACCCGCTTTAAAAATCATTCATTCCCTATGCAACGTATCACTGGAACAACCTAACCTTAGCAGACCGTTCACTGAGTTTCCCACGCTTTAAGAAAAAAATGATCAAATCTGTGCGCCCTGTCCCTGTTTCATACTTCAGTATAGGTCCCCGGTACACCTGCGCTCTTCTCACTCGTTTTCGACTTGGTACTCATAGTCTAAACTCTAATCTGTACTCTCGAAACCTGGTATCTAGTTCTGCTTTTACTTGTGGCCACCCCTGTGAAAGTATTCATCATTATCTTCTGCACTGCCCAAAGTTTACTCAATATCGTGTCTCCCTCTTCAGCAATTTAACCGAACTTGTAGGATTTGCCATCAACATCCAAAACCTTCCCGATAATCTCCTAGTACAATTACTGCTTAGAGGTTCCTCTTCTCTGTCGGCTTCTAACAACGCTAAACTCTTACAATGTGTTCAATTGTTTATAAAAGAAACGGAAAGATTTGAGTAACCATCAATTTCTTATCCTACCAGTTTGTTGTTTGACTTGGAATGCCTACTTATTCACTTATCACTTACCTGCATATACTGTTATATATTTGTTACATATTTTATGATTTAGTTATAATGCGGCTTACTTTAGTTTACCTTATTACTCTTATGCTTTGCATGTCTGTATTTGTGACTACATGTATATATCTTTGTAACGATGACGACACAAACATAAGCATTGTAGCTTGAGTATGTCGTCATCCTGTCTTGTTACTAAATGTTATAATAAAAAAAAAAAAACTAAAAGTAATATTGATATAGTAACGTTAACTTATAACACATCTTCATTGTTTTAAGGCGTTTGAGCAACACTGTATAACCAACGTTTTTGCTATTATTGTTTTTTTTGTGCGACAAATGTGTCTGTAATTGTGGCAAGTAGAGCAGCTTTTAATGTCTCAAATGAGTTTCTAAACTACTCACTATTTACCTTTTGTATATCTAGGGTAACATGTAAGACGTATGACACTATTGTAATTCCAAGCCTGATATCTTTCACAAACTTAAGGTAAATTGATACATCATATATTTAAGATAAGTTATCAATTAACACTCCTTGCTTTGTCTGAATTTCTGTCCGAATATGAATTTGCATATTGACATGAATGAGATGATCAACATAGAAGTAAGAGGCATGGAAGGAATTGAAATAGAGTGAACGTGGGAATGTAAACGACTTTGATAACTCGAAGATGTTGCTGGTAAACCATGAATATCGCACATCAGAAGAATACGGCATATGTAAGCACCGATATGACATACACCCGTGGGCCGCTAGGAGTCGCTGCGTCATAGTAGGTCTTGTATCGGTGGCGGGAAAATGTATTGAATCGGTTTACAAGAAATCACATCTCTCCGCGGGAAGTCGGATTGCCCAACAAAATGATTATTTCGATGAAGTCTCAAAAAGAAAGCCATTACTGCATAAATATACTGATGATTTTTAAAACATAAAATGAGAGACATTTTATGTTAGAAGCTGTTCGTTCTCCCAAGGCCTCTCTCTATATCCCCCCCCTCTCTCTTCTAACACGCGTTTTATGGAAAAAGCTGAGTACCCTCATTTCATATTCATAGTCCATATGCATAGGGCTAAATACATCCGTGGCCATTCTCGGACGTAGGGTTAAAAAGCACACTAACAATATTAATAAGACCCAAACATGTACAAACTTATTAAATCGCAACTTCGGGAAGAACTCACACCTTGCCTTTGTTCTGGAGTCTCAAGTTTCCAAACTAATCAGGCTATTCTATTTAGTAACGTTCCCTAACACCTCTGTAAGCGGGGCTAATCTCATTAGTAGTAATCCCTCCTCAAACCGTCGCCATGGTTACAAAGGCCGGGGAATCTACGGTTTTCTTCCCGCCAGTCCAGCGTGAATAACGGCCGGGTAAACTCGGGATCGGGTTCCGCCCGGAGGAAAATGTGCTTAGAGAAGTTTGTTCAGAGTCGGTAGGTTGGGATGCTTCTCTAACTGACCTATATTCACAAACAGTAGAGAGTCTGTGTTCTAAACAATGCTACAGAGGCGAGGCACGTCTCTCCAAACTTCTGACTGATGAAGTAATGGGAAAACTGTGCAGTTGTTTACATCCGAATAGCTATACCCCCCCCCAATACTGCATGATTCGGCTATTTATATCTTTGAACAAATGACCTGGCCACCACATAAAATAACTCGTATATAAATGACCAGAGAAGAATTCAAGACACAAAAATTTCAGCTCGAAATATAGATTCCCAACCATTGCATAAAGGTAAATATGGAAACAATGCAACGATGAATAGAATGATTTTGATTCGATCGAAAGCAAGTTAATGCGGTAACCATGCACCGTGGATTATTTCACGTGAAAAATTATATTAACCAGATTATAGACAAATCATTTAAGCTTATTTTTATTTCTTCTCTTCATGAAGGACATTCCAAAAGCGAAGTTGGCCACCATTATTCCCCGGCAGCCAGTCATCAATATATGACAATGGTGATATTAACAGTGTGATGAACTTTGAGCCTTACATTTCAATTTGTTTCTGGATGGAAAGTCATTTTTCACAATTGTATATTAGTCATTGCCATGGACTTTATAGCTACCGAGATGTTTGACTTTGAACTTACTTTCTAAATTCCAAACTAGTGAATGTGACCATTGTTATTTTTATTACAATCTTCATGATTCAGCAACAGAACTTCGATCCACACCTTCTAGATCTCAACAAACTGCAAAAATAACACACACGGGGGGAAAACTGCCTCCTTACCCACTCTCTGTTGTCTTAACTGAGCCTGATCAAACCATAACTTTGGTCTTAACATTCCCCGTTCACTGCAACACGGAGAGCCCTGGCCCACAAAGACGTGCGTGCCTTTCTCACAAACACTCTCTTAGCGGGGTGGCAAACTGTTGTGCGGTTTTAATGGTCAAGGACACGTCTCTTAAATCCTCGGGTCAACAACGTTAACTCTACATTGTGAAACACTTACCGGTGCCAGCATTACAGGAGAAAAATTCGCCCGGTTGCCTGGCCTCCTGTGGGTAACATTAGAATGAAACAGATGATGATTGCCCCCCTCCCCATATCTGTGAATTACCAATAGGCAGAAACTAGTTACAGAGCATGACGCTAACAATGGGATTTACCTGATACTGAGGCCGGTAAAATTGGCGATAAAAAGTCGCATTTGATAAGAGAACATTTAATTGGTTGTTCGGACCATTCAGGCAAAAACTTAGTTTTTGCAGTCCACCTGTCACAAGACCATAATATGTCTCCAAAGGTTTTAGACAAATGAGCTGAAGGAAGTGGTATTGCTGTGTTTGTGAGTTCCGTTGCTGCAGTTTGACATTCCGTTGTAATCACAACACCTTTCTTGTATGATCGGCCTTCACACTAAACAAACTGGAGCAAACGAACCTTTCTGTCAACACAGCAAACAAAAGACACGTACTGACTTCAGATTTTTTTTTACTCTATGATGATTTGAATAAAGTTAATACAATTTATATTAGCCATGTATTATCACAATTGAGGATATGCGTATCTTATTTAGTTTACTGACTGAAAGATTGGGATAAGATGAGCGATGTTTTGATTTTGGTGCGTTTGCCAGCGGTTTTCAAACAACCTGCCTGTGAGCACAACAATCCGGGCGGTGTTGACACGTGTTCCCATCAATCACCGAGTGGAGAGTTTGTGCCACGCAACATTTACCTGACAAATGGGACAAATGGGAATAAATGTTCTTTGTCAGATAATTACCTAGACGATGAAGGGTGAACAAACGGCGGGACGGGACCGGGGCCAGGGAGGGAACCGTGCTGCAAGCTTTCGGTAAATACTGCGGGCAACACAGCGGATCGGGGCACTGACACACTGGGCAGGCGGCGTGGTTAGCGTTCTCCCTGGACCGCAGCGGGCTTCCTGAACCGGACAGCCATCTTTTCACTTCATCAGCAGGTAGAACAGAAGTGGTCCTCTATCCAGGTGAAGCAACAGGTGGGAGGAATGTCGGCAGGTGCGCCGGTGTAGCCGCTCTACAGGTGTCTACCCCCCACCGACCCTGAACTGCGAACAGGTGCGATACGGAAAATGTTTCACCGGACAATCGTGTGTTTTTACCTGGCGACTCGAGGTTGGGACCTAAGCGGAGGGACGGACTAGTCCGCCCGACACGGGCTGCTGAAGGATGGCGGTGGAAGACTGTATTCGCTGCGTCAAGTGTTTGCTGTTCGCCTTCAATGTACTGTTTTGGGTGAGTATCTCGGCCGTAATACCTTCTGTAGTGACACTAGGGCGAGTGTTTAGGGCCTAATACCGTCTCCAGCGGTCCAAAGCCGGGTTCGGGAGGAATTCGGGTGACTGTTGTGTACCGCGCGGGGCTTTTGAAGGTGTGTGAACTGCAGATTTAGGGATCACGGCGTAACGCAGTGGGACTGACTAGATCAGCTTTAATGCGATTGTTTCAAAGGAAACAGACCAAGCTTATATGTTAATGTATCAATGACTGCTTGTCCTGAACACGTACTAGTGAAGACTATATTGTAGATTGTGGTAAAGGTGGACCGTACGAAGCAGAGAAAACACATTTCTCGTGCGTTATGAAATATCCAAATCGTAATCGTTCAAATATTAAAAAGATAAATATTAGTATGTACAATAGAAGAGTGTAACAGACAAACATCTATCTACTTTTCACACATACGTAGAGATGGGGTCAAGGTGTGTTTAGCATTTTTTGGAAAAACATGTTTGAGGGAGGGAAACCTTTATGTACAGAAGTATTTATCTTTCCTTCAAGTTGTGTTTACAAGTAATCGAACCTGAGTGTTTAGGAGGAGACAACAAATGTGCAAATACCTACAACTGTACTAAACAAAACATAATCCTGTCCAAGGAGCATAAGGTTACAAATATTTCAAAATACACAAAGGGACAGGTTAAGCTCCCAGGTGTGCCATGGCTCGCACTTCCTCTGGTTCCAGGCCCACCGTGGTGTGTGGGAATCGAACCAGGGACCTGATTACTCAAGCGTATGATCTGATAATCGCCCTGCGTCTAATGGGACTTAAATTACTGGTGTGAGTGTACCGGAGAGCGTTTTGTGTACCTAAACAGCCGAAAATACCGTCGGATGCTCTTCTCACGATGATCTATATTTGCACGGAGTCTTCTACGTAATCGTGAAACTGAGTTCGTGACAATCATTACAGTAGCCTTAATGTTTGTTTGTACGTAGATACTTGTGAATGGCTCCGTGAACACAAGCTACTAGCTATCTTTATCTATTTTTCTCACTGAACACGACGTAATCATTCACGCGTTCATATGAAGTGAACACTCGAAATTGTTGACATCACGACTGTGACATTTGGCAGTTGCTCATCGTAGCATCTCGTATCTATTGAAATATTTAGACAGTGATGATTTGTTGTAAATCGATTGTGAATCTACGCAAAAAAAGATTTCTGAGGTTTGTTATCATTCTTCTCTCTGGACGGACCACTTATCCTGAGGTCGAGAATAGGGGAAGGAAAAACATCAGGGGTCGAGAGGTACGACTACTCAATTGATTTCCTTAAGGCTGCAGTTCACCGGCACAAATGGATGACAAATTATCCAAACACGAAACGTTCACCGCCTAATTCGTGTAAGTCCTTCAGGGGGGTCCATTGTACTATTATTTCTGGTACTTTTAAGTATCAGTTAGCACTACTTTCTGATGAAGTTTGTCCGTTTGGGACTTTGCGTTTGGTTGTGTTCATAGTTTGGTGAAGTGCCCTAGTCTAGCACACCGATCAAAAGAACATGGCGGTCACGATGTCGACTGTGTTCTTTTTCAGAGAGCCTCTACTGCGTTTGAAAGAGGCCCTTCTGTTCTCTCGTGTCACAAACAGGACAGATATTTACCAAAATACAGGACAGTTCTGCTTTTTTTTAGTTGGATTGTTTGCATAGTAGAGTCATGAGACAACCAGGTCACCTACCCTGCCACCATACTTCCAAAACGATCTCTACCTACTTGTACAAACATCTTTGTCCGTGATAACACTACCTCTGTTGAACTAGTCCGTGCATCAATTCAGGCGCTGTCACGTGTAAATGTACGGCCAGCAAAATAGACCATTGTCCGCAACATGTTGCACTTAATTTTATCCCCTTTGTCCTACTGTCAGGCATTGAGGCCCCGAGTTTTCTACCCTTTTGGTCCACAATTGCTCGTTCTCAGCAATTGAAAGAGACACACTTGAGGCTTGTATCCACCCTTAGTTTGACAATAGAGCCTGTCATAGCCGTTAAATTGTGCTGACATTCGAGCAGGTGGTTGGATTAAAAAAAGTACATTGACCATTCTATCGGCGTGACACCTCATTTGCAGTGACGTCAAACATTCATAGTGAATATAATGCACTGTTTACCTTCATTCCAATCTTTATCAATTCTAAAATGTTTCACTTTTATTTGACGTAATATTTGGTTAATTTCGACGTTAATCAAACCATCAGATATGATGACTATTGACATCTCGCGGCGATGTTGGAATTTGAACATGTACAACAAAACAGACAAGATCTACCTCATGTAGCCAATGTTTTAGAATGGACAATGACGCAATCCCTAAACCATCCTAGAAATTTGCTAAAGATGACAAAGTTGATTTTCACCTGACAGGTACCTGTTAAACTCCAACTTGTTTTTGATTCCGACATTCCATTCTTGCTATGTCAGATCCACGTGTGACGCTCACAAATGTCTACCTGAAAACGTTCTTGTGTAAAAAAAATGTCTAATATTACACTGTATATATTAGACGTCATAGCATGTTACCTATGGGTACCATTAAGAACAGTACATACAAAGATTGACCGTAGAACGTAGGGATAATTTGCATAGGTTTTACAGTTTTTTGGAAGTGCTGAGCCAGCTGGGCGTGCGACCTGGAATCCAATCGGAACAAGTTTCGCTACATGTCTTCTGAATAGATGATTGGACGCCGACGTCGGCCGAGCGTAACCGACGCACACCGATGATATCCGAGTGGACTTCTTTCGGTCCTTTTCTTGGGGTTGAAATCAAATACGTTGCAAAAAAAAATATTAAATGAAATCGACACCTTCCAAAGTTAGTTGTGTAGGTGAGAATGAATAAAAAAAGAGCTTTAACATACTAGTACGTAGTACATTCCTGTATGGTTTGCTAAGTTAGAAGTACATGTATGTAATCAGGCCTCGGTCATGAAACCAGATAGTGGCACAGCAAACAACCATCATCACCATCTACTTTGACATAACCCTCTACCCTCAACATAAATATAAAACACCTTTAGTAATAGTAGTCTCTTTTGAAATGACAAAAACAGCTGCCCCTCCCTCGGTGTTTTTCCTCCACCCTGCGCCCGCTCTATTTCAGGACGTCACGGGACATGTAGACCAGAGGGATCGGGTAAAAGGGCTGGATTATTGGAGCAGAAACACTTCCTCCTCCCGCTGAAAGAGCATGCCCTTTTCATGACGTATCCGTAGGCGTGCGGGCTTACGTACGTACCACAGTACTGCCAAACTGGACATACATATTCGTAGCTACAATATCTTTCTAATGGCTTTGGCGGGAGTGCAGTGAAATCATAATCTTTTGCTTTTAACACAGACTGAGAATTATACTACATTGTGTTTTACGTTTAAGGCTGACTATGAGAGTGACTGTGTACGTAGACACCAAGGTAGACGTTTTAGTTGATTCAGGAACAGATGATAATTCTCTGATTTCTGACTGTCAACTTATGGAGATATATAAAAAAATAACGACACATTCCATATCATTCCACACCAGGAAGAACCCACATGTAAATCTGTTTCTAGTGCAGAAATGGATTGTCTTTCTATCTCACAGTAGTGTGTTTACTAGTTGCTTCTATTTTGTAGCAAATGTTAATATTTTTCATGATTGATAATATTTCATATAATATTTCTACTATATCAAATCGCTGCCCCCCCCCCCTCTGCCAGTGCCTATCATTGTATCTCGTGTTTTGTCATGATTAATTAATTGATCAGACACAATGGTTCAAGTGGGGCCGACGTGCCTGCGACCAAACATTCCTCTTTTCCCCATTTGTTACCATTACCCCAGCCCTCTGAGTTTGGAGGATTTGCTTGGCAAACTTTGTTCTGTTACAATATTTGTCTCCACTTCATGAGGTCACGCGCGTGTTAGAGGTCAACTGAAGGTTATACAGAACTGTGTAGACTTTTTATACCTGGTGTTATCATACTCAAAACCCCCGCGTTAGTTATAAGATAGATGTTTGAAAGGTTTCTTTGTTCTTATTATTTGTTGTCGCTGCAAAGATAGTCGAAGCTGAAATGTTATCAAAGAAATGTTTTTGTAGTCATAAACATAACGAAGTCCTTGATCAAGCTGTTCATTTATCAATTTTTGGTTCAATTATGGTTACTTTGAATTCATATGTTGCGGTGGCCATTTTTTCTGATTTGTTTTTATAAAAGGATATGGACTTGTCTCTGTGGGCATGCTTAATTGTCTGAGAAAACTCCATAAAACGAAACTCATTTCTATGTCAGACGCATAAGACCATGAATTTGGTTGCTGGTTCAATGTCAGACGCATAAAAACCATCAAAATAAAAGTACAAAATGATTCCGCCCGGGATCGAACCGGGGACCTTCTGCGTGTTAGGCAGATGTGATAACCGCTACACCACGGAATCTTTTCGATGATGGCGTGCCTTCTAACATCCACACAAAGTACACCAAAGGCGACTTTACACTGTGTCTCAACATGTTAATAATTCATATAAAATTGAGCAAAAGTAAATAAGCCTAATATATAGATATTAGATTGATAAATCACCAATGTACACGATGACCATGGGCTATCGTTCCTTTTACTATGTGGTGTCGCAGAGGTCAAAATGTGAAGCTATATTTACACTCATATGACCTTCATCTATGCGTAGCTAGTGCCTATCATGGGGGGGGGGTGTCAACTAACACTTTGGTTACCCATTTTGAATCTATATTTTCTGTTTCAAGTCACTGGCACTTATGTTTTTTTTTCATATTAAAATGTTCCTATGCATGAATTCACTTTTAATTATTTTTCCAGACGATTTTTTGTCTATCACTTGTAGACCGATTTAAATCATGATAATGTCTGTTTTCACAATTCAAAAGTCAACCACAGTGTTGCTAGCTAGGGCTCAAATATTTTTTACTCCCCCGAGTCCCGTTCATG